AGACAATAATGTGGATGAAATTCAAAGAGAACCTCATTATCCCTGGCAAATTGGGCTACATTTATGAGTTTTTTGTTTAATAGATGAATATGAAGCAGGTTATTGTGATGAAGAGTGTGTTTAGAAGGCACTTTATCAGTAATTTACCATAATGAGCAATAACCATACATGTACCATTAGCTACTTGGATTCTGTCATTTCCAACGACAAAGTTAAGGTTGCTAAGATCGTAGGTGAGGTGATTGGTTGTTCCTGAATCAGGGTACCAACTATGTCTTGAGATGAATTTTTCTCTTCGTCGTCGATGTGGAGAAATCGCAATGAAAGAAGCATTTTTTGAACTGATGTAGAATTGGAAGACGAAGCTTGTGAACGATAAGGAATGTCTCAGTTTAGCTCAATTTTTAATAAAGAAATGCAATTATTTTATAGAATCATGCCACCTAAATAACTAACCTCAATTATTGTCTCTCTCTCTCTTGAATCATTACCAATAGAGAACATCAATTTGAATAGTGCATGTTGAATCATTACCAACTAGTACAAAGTCCGTGCGATGCACGGGGTGCACAATTTTAAGGTTATTTATTCAGTCTTATAATTATATAAATGAATAAAAAAATGTACGAGATATATATAGTACGGGACCGGTGCGAGACACGGGATATATTTATTTAGGGAATATTATATTATAAGATGCAATATTCAATAAAAGTTTTATAGTACGCAGGAAAATTATACAATAAAATAGTATCTGACAAAAAAAAATAATATATTATCAAAAACCTCCTTGTACATAGATATTAAATAATTTATTAGTAAAATAGTGTATAAGTTGATTACAATAACAAAACAACATGCTCACGAGATTAGTAAAAATATTCCATAGATTGAAGATTTATTGGGATTAAACATTTAAATTAATTAATTTAGATAATTCAAAAGCCTTCCAACATTGTTTTAACTTTAATATATTACAACATGTGTATACTTTAAATATATTAATATTTAAGGAACTTTAAACAGCATAATTTTAAGAAAAATTATTTTAGGGAACTTTAAACAGCATATTTACGTTACTCATAAAATAAATTATATTTCAACATCATAATTATAGTATTATTTAAGGAACTTGAAACAACATTGTTAAATATTTACGTCCACCCATAATTTTTTTTACAAGTCGAAGGCAATTAATCCCGTTTCTTTTTTATTTGTTTGTTCAATTTTTTTGCCTCAAAACTGATATCATGGATAAAAAAATTTAATATTAAATAAATGAATTAAATAATATAAAATAATATGCTTTAGACAGATATAGGATGCGGATAATCCTCTCATACCAAACAACGCGATTTCAAAATTGACTCAGATCCAACAATCCTATCCAATATTTCATATAAATAAATATTAAATAAAATGCTTTAAACAAAAATTAGATAAGGAATTTTGAATCTGCCTTTTTTTGTATAAATAGGCTTTACGTACATTTTTTGACTTCACTATTTATGAAATTTATTTTGACTAAATCGATGTTATTATGGAATAAGACAAATAAATAAAGTCTTTTTTTATTTTAGTAATGATTTTACATACTTTTTTTTTTACTTATCGGATGTTATGAGATTTTTTTTTTTCTTAAGCCGATTTTTATTTTAGTAAATTTTTTAAAGAATAACTAATATAATTTTATTATCTAACAATCAATAAAATCATTTAATGATGTGATCATTATCTTTTAAATGATAAATAATATTATTTAAAAAATATTAGTTTTATATATTTAAATAAAGGTTAAAAAATATTACTCGACAAATATTAATTATAATGGATATCAGTAAAATCATTGCATAAATTATTTAAGGAAAAAATTTTTAAGATCATATATGGATAATAAATGTAAATATGCAAGCATTTATTGCATATAATAAAAAATTTCTAAATAAGGTATGCATTAAATGTGTGTTGACTTTTCTTGCTACTATGTTTGGTAAATAGGTTGGCTTTTAATATATATATAGATATAGATAGAGAACATCAATGTGAATAGTGCAAATAGGAGATATATGTATTCAAGTGGAATTTAATTGACATAATAATAAAGAATACCACATAAATAGAGATATAATATGACTAGGATAGGATGGGTGCATGGGCTAGTTTCCTTTCCTCAATAAATTACCCGGTGGATGTCGGCTCAGTGCTGACCACCGACTAAGCCCATGGGCCAGGAAAAATGACATTGGGCCCACAGCTAACGGGAATACCCAAGCGCAATACGCGCCAACGTCAAGTTTACGAATGAACACATTCTGTACCGTCTCTCTCACCCCTTTACTCTTCCGACTCGCAACTTTTATCCTTTTCATTCTCTGTTAGAAATGAAGTCCTCTCGCAGGCCTCGATTTTCCCCTACCACCGCCACCACCGTTGTTTACACCTACCACAACGAAACCTCCGCTTCCAATCCCGGCGGCGAAGTCACCGGAATTCCCATCCGATCGACGCCTGACGAGCTGCCGCCGGCGGCAGAGACCATCCCTATCACTGTTCGCCTCCCCCAACCGAGGGAAACCTATGCGGCCGTTAAGATACAGTCAGCCTACAGATCTCACACGGTTCGCATGCTCGTTCGGAAGATCTCCGCTGTCAATTCTGAAGCCAATTACTGGCAGAGGCTTATCCAACGCCAGGCACGATTCTATGTTCTGTACTGATTTCGATAATTACGCTTTGATCCGTGTGTTTTTGCTGTGCCAGTGGAAAAATTGTGCTCGTTTTGGGTAATATCATCTCAAAGTGGATTTTGTATTCTGGTGAAATTACTTAAAAAAAAAATTATGATTTGCGCGAAGCTCGGCTCATCACTATTTGGTTTCTGTATTTTTTCCCGTCTAACGAGCTGAGTATATCCAGAAACTGGCCATGGGATGAATTATTCAGTCTAAAGGCTATATTTGATTCAGTTTGTAGTTTGATTTTAACTCTTGTGGTTTGACCCCTGTAGCTTATTTGTGAATGTGATTTATATCATGAAATTATATTTGCAAGTTTATGCTATATCATCCTCCTGTGTTTGCTCGATAGATTGATTCAATTGCTAGATTTTTATGGTCTGTTTTGTCTCGCCACACTTTTTTGAACATGCATTTTTGGATTTTAAACAGACTGTGTCTAAAAATATATGTTAACTGTGTCTTGACAGGAGACAGTGGACTCAGTGCGTACCAGTGAGCGCGAGCGGATTAAGATCAACGAGGCGCTAATGGGCTTATTATTCAGGCTCGATTCAGTTCCTGGGCTTGATCCCAATGTGAGGGAACTGAGGAGGCACGTGAGCCGCAAGATCGTGGGCTTGCAGGAAATACTTGATGCAGTTTCAGATACCAGAGTCGAGCATTGGGATGGATTCTTGAGAGATTGGGATGACATTGTTGCTGGGCTTGAAAAGGAAGCTTGCAAAGAAACAGGAGGTGGGAAGGAATTGGAGAGGTTTTGTGCGGAGCATTTGGGTTTCCAGTGTCTGCAGAGGTTTCTTCGGGATCAATGAGTTTTAGGTACACATGTGCGCCCTTGTGTGTGTATACATATACATATTATACTTATTTGGTTGATTTGTACAATAATTGGTGCGATGAACTCTTTAACTAATACTTAGCTCGTCTTCTGTACTAAGTTGTATATCCCATTGGCTAAACAACAAAATGGGGAAAAAAATGGGGAAAAAGATGAAGGGAAGAATAATTTGAAGTGTTAGATTGCTGTTGTGAAGGTAACTGATTTTGGGGCTTGGTGCAAGTTTCTGAGCCCCGTGTCTGTGATTCTAGCTTTAAAGCTGATGGGTGTCCATCGTTTATATGCTGTTTTCATAGTACAGTTTCTATCCCCTCAAACTTAATTTCTGTGTGAAGAGAACTGGTACTTGCTGATTGTTCTTTAGGAAAATCTCCTTCTTAGGGCATGTCTAATTGCATCATCTTGAGCAAAATGATTGGACTTCGTAAATACTAAGACCAAATGCGATTGAGCAAACTTAATTGGTCCCAATCTGTTCCCTTCATACGCATGTGTGCCAATTGACCAGATTAATGCATCGTTCTTTAGTCGGTGCCATTTATTAGTATAATTAGAAGCCATGGTTTTCTTGTCAAGGGTTGGACAGAGATGTATGCTGCCAGGATTGGCTACTGAAAATGGTCACCAGGGTCCTTGTATTCATTTTTTAGATTTCCAAATCCCCCTATATATTATATCAAAACGTGCTGAGTCTAAGTGGCAGAATCGCACGCTTTGGAATCCCACTACATCATGCTTTGTATTTAGGTTCGGATAAAAAATTGCAAACAAAATTGGCTTGGAACGTGCCATAAATAATTTTTCCACCATACGTTATTGCATTCCATCAATCTCTTTTCATTACCAAATTTGTCTTGAATTTAAACATCACACAAATCTTTCTTTCCTTATTTCATTTTATTAAGGATTTGTCTCATCCATCTTTTTTTTTTTCAAGTTGATAAAGTTTAGCCTATTTTTGAGTTTGTGTTTTTGACGCGTAATGAATAATGATTAACTAAAAATATATATTATAATTATATTGATAATATAATTAATGAAATCTTAACTAAACACATCATCAATCTTATTAATATTAATCTCTTGATTTACGGTTACGGATATCACAATTCATTACAATTTGTGCTGCGACAAGGATGACAAAATTGTAAGTAGAACTAATAATGTTGTGCAATTTTTTTTCTTTTTTTTTTTTTAGAATTTGAAATAAAATACTAATGTACAATAGTTTTTATTATATGTAACTTTCATTTATTTATTTTTTATATACTTACAATAGCTAAACTCTTTTACCGCTTTTGTTCAAATTATTTATTCATGCACCCGGGTAGACACGGATGTCGTACTAGTAAAGTGAATACTGCAGTAATTCCTCTAATTTTTGTAAAACTAGAAGCTTCCTTTATTGATTTTGACCTGACAACAACATGATTCATATTTCATGGAGGTAATGTTTTTTTATTTTTTCTCCTATATTAATAATTTAAAAAGCAAGAATCTTCCAAGTTGTGTGCTGTTTAACTGTAAAGTTTGATGAGTACTTTGCAGCCGGTTTTAGCTGAAGGTTGGCCCAAATACTTATCAAAAACACCCAAAGCTGCTGCTTACTCTTGGAGTGCTCTATCTGCCACCCGGGGCTCTTGCAATTCTGGCAGGGCCAGCTGCATAAATGAGCATAGGACAAATGTGAGAATCACCAGTAATAACTGGTCCCATTCTCCATCTCAAATCAAGTTTTCTCGTCAGCCACACGGTTCCACCTATCGTCCCAAAAGTCTTGGAATGAGTTTGAGTTCGAGAGGTGAGGCTCGTAAAAAGGCAACTCAACCTCATACCTGGCCAATAATTGCAGCCGCCTCTAGGACTATATGTAAGCCCAACACAGACAAAAAGCACACGTCAGGAATAAAATGGCATTTTTAGGAAGTTTGTCCTTGTGGAAACCCAAAATTATCAAGTCATAACTAGGATCTTGTTCAAGCCCCCCTTGGAATTTCTTGGGAGGAATTTTCCCTTTAATTGGTGGAGATTTTCGGGCTTGCATCTCGTAGGAGCTTAATGGTGAACCAAAAAACTAAAGCAAGATGGAACAAGGAGAGGGATGGGTGGTTTAGTGAGCTAGTGTCGAAATCCAAGAGCAGAATCTCGATTGATGATAAAATTTAGCAAGCTCAAACAGGGGAAGAAGTGCATAGCGGCACTCGAACAACTCAGTAAAGAACGCGAAGGATCTGAGTTTATCTTCGAAGGGGAACCAATTTGGTTTTGCCATCACAATAGCAACCTAACAGAAGTATTCAACACCCTACCATGATGAAATTATGTGTATCTCTATCTCATAATTTCTCTTTCCTAAAAGAATGAAAAACTAGAGGAATTTATGATGGTCATGCAACATTTACAAAAGCTGAAACTGCTTGGATTTGATGGACTTAATTCAGCTATAGATGTGGATCACTGAATTACTGTATCAGGCTTGCGTTTGGGGAAGTAATTGGAGAAAACTACACGGTTTACCACCAAATTGGATAATTTAGGTGCACATTTCCGATGATTTTTTTTAATTGTAAATATATCAACTTTCACTATTTTTAAATGATCGAGGGACAACCACTTCTCGATGGAGGCTTGTTCGTATGTCACGCTGCCGGCGCAAAGGCTCACTGGAGACTTCATCACGTCCACGGAGTGGGGCACCATGTATTCTGTGGCCTTCACATCTTCTTCGCATACCAACCAGTTGCCTTTTTTAGATGTTAGGTTGTAAAATCTAGCTTGATGAAGGGTAATATGGTCAACTTTGGGCAATGTTTTAGACTATTTAGACATTTAACAATGTATGCACTGTGCATATATTTATCATTGTTCTGAAAACTGAACCGGTCATCAACGTTGAAGCTACTGGTTCATTGGTTCACTGGTCGGACCAGCGGTCAAACCGGTCGGATTAATATATAATTTATTATTTATTTTATATGTATAAAATGTAATTATATGCATATTTTTTGTCATAATTTTATAGTGTATGTCATGTCTTTAAATAATAGTTCAATAATAGATACAACCGACAATATTGAATAATGTTGTTAACTTTTTTTATTTTATTTTTATATTTCAAATTTTAATTTATATTTAAGTTAAATAGGGAGAATAGAAACAACTCAATTTTCAACTTAAATCAAATTTTAATTTTTTATCTGATTATAACAATAAAAATAAAAATAATGTGCATAACAAACAACAATAAATGACTTCATATTTTAAAAAAGTCGGAGTAGATATACCCCAATTGATAGTCTACTTAAAAAAATCAATACATTTTTTTAATAAGTACAATTTTGCTTAGGCTCAATATTGACACAATAATTTCAACAAAAGAACATATCCCACATACAACATATCACTTCATAATGAACCAATTTCTAATTCATAAGTTTGAACCAGTGAACCATTCGAACCGGGCATGGTTCGCCGGTTCAACCGATTTTGGACCGGTTCGAACTGTTCTTGACCGGATCACCTGCTTGACAGTTTGATGGCTCAAACCAGACCAGAATGAAGGTCGGTTCCCGATTCAATCGGTTGAACCGGTCGGTCTGGTTCGATTTTCAGAAGTGTGAATTTTATTATCATATCTCCTTCCTCAGGAGTCCTGACCAGGCTAACAAATTGGCTCTCAGTCTTTTACGAAGAATTTTAACAGTTTGAACTAAAAATGTTAACAAATACAACGTATTGTAATAAAATCTATTTAGGGGATGTATTCGTTTGAGATTTTCAGGTGACATTTAGAGACTTTATTAGATTTGAGATTTTATAATATTCTTGGAAGAACTTTATTAGATTTGAGATTTTATAATATTCTTGGAAGAAATATGTGAAATTTTAAGTCTGGAGATAAGATTTAGAGTGAGATTTCATATATGTTTTTTTTTTTTTAGAAATCTCAATCTTAAAAACTCTTCACAAATCCTCGTGATTTTGTATCACTTTTTAAAAATTCTAATGAATACTTAAAACTTTTAAACGTTTTGAAAATATTAAATACGCCAATATTTCTGAAATCTTAAAAAGTTTTTTAGAAATTTGATATAATTGAGCTACAAAAAGTAAATTTTCCCAATAAGTAAATTCAATAGACTTCATGTTGGCAACCATTCATGTTGGCAACCAATCACGTTCCGTTTATTTTTTTCAGAAATGTTACGATCCCGTTATAGAACCATTCATTCGCGATTTTAACCATTAAATCTTCATGTAACCGTCGAGAATAGTTGATCTAACGGTTACAAATTCCAACATAATGATTCCGTAACAAAACCGTAACATCTCCTTATTTTCTTATTCAAGTGGAGGGCCAGTAAAAATACAACTTCACTACAACTTAAATAGTTATATATTTGTCCACAAAAAGAAAATATATATTTGTCTTGATGGAAGGTTCCAATATCAAAAAAACTAACTTCCGGTCGGAAGTCACCAACTTTGCTAATCATAATTCAAAACGCGCTAATATTGACCTTTTTGTAACTTTCAAGCTAAGTAGGGTCTTCACCGTATCACGAGCACATTTATATCGTTGACATTGTCATTTATATACTTCTTTTTATTGTGTTGTAATAAAAATAAATAAATAAATAAAATTGTGTACAAAAATTAATTAATAAAATTTATAGAAAAATATTGTTTTGTTTTATATCAAAAAGTAATTAATATTTATTTTGTATATGACATATTGTTGTTACATCAAACTAGTGGAAACAAAAAAATTTGATATATTATTACATTGATGCTACCAGTTTTGCTATGGAGCCATCGGATGGCTCGACTTATGGAGCCATCCACAGTTATTCACAAATAGTGTATTGACACGTGTCCTACAATAAATGCAGTTTGGACAAGTGTCAATACACTAAGTCATGGATGGCTCCATAAGAAAACCATCCGATGGCTCCATAGAATTTTTGTTGATGCTACCATATGAAAATATTTTAAAGTTTTTTATTAAAGAAAATATGAATATTATATATGAAATACAAAAAAAAAAAGAAAAAAAAGAAACATAAATCAAAATAAATTGCACAACTCTGCCTTTCCACAATCATAGTCAAAGTAAATAAAATTTATGGTATTAGAATTATATAAATTAAAACACGCCTAATTAGTTGCCTTCGTTATTTTTTTTTAATAAATATAATAATTTATATATATATTAAAAAAACTAAAAATATAAATCCATATTTGTGGTAGAAAACGAAAAACAGACGAAGAAGAATATGGATAGCGCTATGAGCTGACCGTCAGCTTGACCGCCCGCACAAGGTCCCTAGCGAATGCTCCGACCGCCGCCGCCTCCGCCAGCCCCCGTTCGTACGCACCGCCCCTTAGCAGCTGCGGGAAGAACAACCGAATTGCCGTCCCCATCACGAACCCCACCGTAAGGGCCGTCCCCACCGCCCGCGGCGGCTGCCACCTCCCTCCGGCTGCCTTCTTCACCGCGATCTCCCCCGCCAGGCACGCGCCGTGCAGTACGAAGTACCACGTGACCTCCCACGTGGGGCGCGCGCGGCTCAAGTAGTAGAATATCAGCTCGTGCAGCAGCCCGGACACCAGGAACGTGGCCGCCACCGCCGGCAGCGGGGCCCACCTCCGCCCCACGGCCCGTCCCGCCCACCCCAGCGTCGGCAGGTACAGCGTCGGCCGCAGCGCCCGCGTCGCCATCAGGTTCCAGCGCCGTCCCCAAAAGTCCTGCAGCGACGCCGAGAGGTACGGCTCGTCGAACTGCGGCTCCAGCTCGGCGCCGACCAGGCCGCGGGCCAGCGCCGCCGCGACCGCCAGCATGAGCTCCAGGCTCAGGTACACGTGTAAGCTCTGGATCGCCATCAGCACCCTCGGGCGCATATACTCGCCGTAATCGTAGATCTGGAAAATCAGGGCCAATAGGAGGGCTTTGGCGGCGTAATTGAAGATCGATTTGCCTTTATCCCCAAAATTCTCGTCGGGTTTAGGGTTTTTGGAGCGGAGCTTGATGGGGAGGCAGGCGACGGCAACAAATCCTGGGAGGGAGAGGGAGGGGTCGTCGGATAGTGGGCCGTTGCCGGCGGCGAGCATGAGGAGCTTGAAATTGGCGAGCCAGGAGAGGAAGAAGGCAGTGGTGCCGGTGAGGTGGACGGAGGAGAGGCGGAGGGGGAGGAGGAGGAAGAGGAAGACGACGGGGAGGAAGGCAGCGAGCCTGTGGCGGCCGGCGGGGAGGGTCCTGGCGGCGAAGTAGCAGTAGACGAGGGAAAGGTAGGCGGATAGCCATACCTTGATGAAATTACTAATTTCGCCTTCCATCCAATATGCTAACACTTCCTTGATGCTGCCCTCCATTATTATTATTATTATTATTATTATTAATCCAAGTTTCTCAAAGAAGAGAGGAAGTTGAATTGCAGATTTTTATTTATGTTAATGCTTGAAAAGTGTGAAACGAATTAAATATATAATTTTAGGACGAAATAATTTAATGTAAAAATTGTGGAGCATTAAATTGAGAGTATCTGACTTGTGATTTGATAGATATATATATATATATACAAAGACCCACTATATTTCATTGACCAATGAATACAATTAGCGTTGTACAAACGTATTATTATATTATATTGGCAATAATTATTAACAAAGGGAGCTCAGTTTGACTAGATGGGTCAGTCACCTTTAATCAGTTTGACCAAGCCTGTGAACCGACCCTGTCCTGGCCCGGTCACAGCCCATCGGTACCAAAAATAGAAAAACCAGACCCAAACACGACCCGTAAAGTCACGATGATGGTTCTCGAAACTAGCAACCTACGGGCCGATTGCAGGCTGGGACCGAGTCTAAGTATGACTCCGCTCGTCTCGTTTAATTAACCTCCTCTCACAAGTGATCAAATTGACTAGAAATGGAAAGGATACTTTTATCTGCTCCTTTTCTATTCCTTTCCTCAATTAGTCAATTTTCACCTAATGACGAAATGTTCTTTTCACTATGTTCGGATATCCGTCACTAAAAAATATGCATTTCCCTCTTTGTCTTTCTTCATCTTGATTTGGTTGTGGCTTCTCGAAGATCGATCACCTACTTAATTGGCTTAGTTTGTAGCCATCATATTTTTCTTTTTCTCTAATTTTATTTCTATATTATTAGAAAAATTTACCGCTTTGCAAAAATGAGAGTGTCCAACATGATTTCCTTTTAATTATAATAATAATAATAATAATAATAATAATAATAATAATAATTATTATTATTATTATTATTATTATTATTATTATTATTTTCTAAAAAAGATGGATGTAAGATAAGAAAAAAGTCAATTTCAAAGGTACCCAAGAACACATGGATGAGATGGCTTGGGTCTCTTCCAGCTTAACCAGTGGTCTCGTGTTCGAAACCTGGGAATGCAGCAGTGATAAAACTCTTGAGGGAGAACTTTGCTGCCCTTGTGGTCCTACCCGGCTTGATTCCGGATTAGTCGGTTCCCCTATGGATCCGGAAACCGGAAGATCCCTGTACCAAAAAAAAAAAAAAAAAA